TTTTTTTTTTTTTTTTTTTTGGTGTGTGTGGTTTTTTTTTAAGTCTAAATCTTTGTGTGAGGGTGAACGTCTGTTTCCCCCTGCCGACCCCCCCGTTTTTCCTGCTGTAACTTCTCTCCGTGTTCGCCCTTTCCTCACCTTTCTCCCGCGCCCCTCTCACCCTTCCCCTCTTCTGCCCTCGCTCGGTCCCTCGCACGCACGCACACACACCACCCCTCTCCCCCGCGCTCCCCCTTTCTCCCCAGGTCCTGCTGGTTACAGTAGGTTTTGATAAAAAGACGAACGAAGCCTTCCGTGGGGCTGATGTTGAAGAATGAACGTAATAATGTTTCCATAGGTGGTGCTTCCAATGCCACGATTTCCCACTGAATATTTAAAGAGATCCCTCAGCCGAGATGGATCTACGTGCTCCTGGGATGCCAGCCGCGCGCCTACCCCAGACCCCGGGAAAGTGCGCGGGAGCGCGTGTCAATCCCGCACCCACCCCACCCCGCACACCGGGGTCTTCCCGAGCCCACCAGCCCGCACCGTCGCAGGTACACCAACGCGCCCTTCCGCGCTTGCACGTAGTTCCTCCCAGGACCCCGCGTCGGGAGCCACCCGCATCCCTCCCTAACGATCTGGGCGTCTCCAAAGTCCCGGCCTCGGGGCGGCCGGTGCGCCAGGAGCCCGGCGGCGCTGGCGATCCCGCAAACGCTTCTGCCCGCGGAGCGCCGCGTGCGCCGCGGGGAGCTCCCGGGAACAGCTTCACACGTGTTCCCTCCTTGCTCTACTTGTGATTAAGGGGAGGGGGGGGGCTTTCCCTGCCCCCAAAACAAACAGCCAAACGAACGCGCACGCAACAGCAGCTTCGCGATGTTTGATTTAAAATGGGCGAGCGGAGACGCAGTGATTGGGGGGGATCCAAACTTTAAGAGCGTTTTTCGTTCTTTCGCCGCCTCGACGGCGTGGAGGGGGGCGTCTGGCTCCGAGCGCGGCATCCCCCGCTAATTTCTTGTTTGTTTTCTTTCGCTCTGTGGCCCGGNAGGAGAGGGGAGGTGGGGGAGGGGTGGGAGGAGGGATGGTCGGAATGGCGGGGAGAGGAGAATTGGTCTTTATTGCGGACGGCAAGACGTCAGTTCCCGGCCATTGTCTCTGGCCCAAGTTCCACGGTCCGCTGACGCGGGCGCCGCGATGTCAGGGCGCGAGGGAGGCTTCGTGTGCCGCGAGGCGCAGAAATAATTAAATTAGTAGGAGCGGAGACAGAGGGGGGGTTGATTTTTACTTTTGAGCAGGTCGGAAGGCCGCGAGTGCGAGTGAGGTGCCACAGCCGGAGCCCCTGCGGGCGACCTGCTCACCCGGGGACCAGCGAGCCCCGCAGGGTCGCGCGGTGCCAGCCTCGGGCGGGGCAGCTGCTGGGGAGCTGGGGTGGCGGGGTTCGGACTTGCGGTTCCCACCAGAGGGCCTGACGCGGCCGGGGCCGATCCTCACTAGGGAGTGGGGGTGGCCCGAGGTGAGGCCGCGGCTGCGCCAGGGTCGTGACCTCGTGGGCCCGCAAGAACCGCTCCCGGCCCGGTTACGCGTCGTGCGAACTCACACGACGGGGGCTCGATGCCAGCGTTTCTACCAATAAGTCCCCTCAGGTGTCCCCAGACCTCGGGCGCCCTTGGTAGCTTGGTGGGGCCGAAGGACTGCGCCCCAAGGCCGCGGGCCACAGCGGAGTTCCCAGCGGACGGGTTCCCGGGCCTCTCGGCTTCATCCCGGGCCCTGGAGAGGGGAGAGGACATCGAGTCTCTCCTTTCGGAGGCCTGGTTCTTCCACCCGCAAAAAGATCTCATCCTGGCCCAGTCTGACCCCGGGGGTCTGGGATGGAGCCTGGGACGAGGCCTGGCCTGCGCCCCGGGCCCTCCTCTTTCCGTGGGCGTTGTGTGGGCCCCCCCGCGCCCAAG